CAAGATCCCTCTGTTCCTGAGTTTCCTCGTGTCCTGCCATTCACTGAGTGCTCCCTTGTCTTGCTCCTTCTCCCAGAGTGTATCGCCTCACAGTGACCTACATCGAACCCTCAGCAGTCACTGACTGTTACCCCTATCTGAGAATCTTTGCCCGACTTATACCAGTCAGCTGGTAGTGGATGTGTCTGGGTGCTCACAGACCCAGTTACTGAGCATTGTTCTCTGCATTTCAGGTGCCAGTCACTGAGAGTGATATCCCAGCAAACTTCCGCACCCTGTTTGAGAAACTCGCTGGGCCGGTGAGGCTGCTGGGGTAATGGGGGGCGGGGGGGTGCCGGTGAGGCTGCTGGGGTAATAGTTTTTCCTGGGGAGGGGTACGGGTGCAGTAATTTTGATGGTTTAGTTTGGGGTGGGGGGTCACATTAAAGTGGTATTTGAGGTGGTGGTTAGGGATAAAGGGGGGTATTAGATGGTAATTTGAGAGATCTGAGAGCAGGGTGTTTGGGGGGTTTGGGTTACAGCTGCTAATGTAGATGTCATTCTAGCACAGCAAACCCCGCCACCCGTCCTCCCCTCTCTCACTCACTCTCTCTCTCACTCACTGTCTCACACACTCTCTCTCTCACTCACTCTCTCACTCTGTCTCACACTCACTCGCTCTCTCTCTCACGCTCTCTCTCTCTCACTCACACTCTCTCTCTCAACTCTCTCTCACTCTCTCTCTCACTCTCTCGCTCACTGTCTCACTCTCACTGTCTCACTCTTTCTCACTGTCTCACTCTGTCTCACTCTCTCTCACTGTCTCACTCTCACTCACTCACTGTCTCACACTCACTCACTCACTCGCTCTCTCTCACTCTCACTCGCTCTCTCACTCACTCTCACTCGCTCTCTCACTCACTCACTCTCTCTCTCTCTCTCCCCACAGGAAAGAGAAATTTCTGTATTTGCTCTTCAGAGAATATTAAACAAAGTGGTGTCCAGTCGTAAGTATGAGAATCATTGTGGGAGGGGGGGAAATACCCCACCCCATGTCCCACCCTCACCCCCACCCACGTCCCCTCCGGTCCACCACCCTCATCCCCCACCCCCACCCCATGTCCTGTCCCGACCCTGAGTCTAGCCCCCGTCCCGTGTCCCGCCCCCACCCTGTGCCTCCCCCCCAGGGTGCCTGGTCACTGTGGATGGGTTGGAGCTGTCTAACTGTGTGTTTGTGTTTAGGTTCTGATATTAAAACTGATGGGTTTGGCCTGGAGACCTGCCGAAATATGGTGAACCTGATGGATGTATCCTTTCGCAATCTGCTTTGGCTCCAATGTGAAACCCTGCAGGAGGGGCTGAATGGCCTCCCCCTGTTCCTGTGGCGGTGTTGGTGGGGGGGGGGGGGCTGAATGGCCTCCTCCTGTTCCTGTGGCAGTGTTGCCGCCTCCTGTTCCTGCGGCAGTGTTGGTGGTGGGGGGAGGGGCTGAATGGCTGCCTCCTGTTCCGGCAGGGAGGGGCTGAATGGCCTCCTCCTGTTCCTGTGGCTGTGTTGGTGGTGGGGGGAGGGGCTGAATGGCCTCCTCCTGTTCGTGCGGCAGTGTTGGTGGGGGGGGGAGGGGCTGAATGGCCTCCTCCTGTTCCTGTGGCAGTGTTCAGGCTGAATAATGCTACAGCGTGTGTCACGTATTATTTTTCTTAACGAATGGACCAACAGATGGATGGAAATGGGAAGCTGGGTTTAGTGGAATTTAAGAAACTGTGGGACAGGGTTCAGAAATTCCTGGTAAGGATTGTGTGGTGGGACTATCTCTCTTTCTGTGTGTGTGTGAGAGTGAGTGAGTGGGAGAGTGTCTCATGAGTGAATAAAAAAGTTCTTCAACTATTCCAGGGAAGACTGAAAGATTGTGGCCAAGTGCTCTGTGTTTTCTACCCTCACTTCCTGCTAACTCCCTGGCGTTGTGTAAACTTCTCAGTGAGGTGAATGTGAAATTGATGCTGTATTCCTCAGTTGCTGAGAGATTACTGCCTTGTGTTAGATTCAAACAGATCTGTTTCTTTGTTTTTCTTTTACAGAAAATCTACAAGAAGAATGATCTAGACCAGTCTGGCACCATGAGCTCCAGTGAGATGCGAGTTGCTGTTGAGGAAGCGGGTGAGAAACTGCCTGTCATATGAGGGGAAAAGAACAAGAGGCCATTCAGCCTCTCAAATGTAATCCTATCTCAAACCTGTTAGGTAGGACCAGAAGGAGCCCGCTGCCTCTTGGAGAGGTGAATGCCGAGTGGTATTATCGCTGCACTGTAAATCCACAAACACAGCTCATGTTCTGGGTCCCTGGGTTTAACTCCTGCCATAGCAGAGGGTACAATTTCAATTCAACACAAAAAAGTCCAAAATTAACAATCTAATGATGACCATGAACCCATTGCTGATTGTTGGAAAACCCCATCTGGTTCACTAATGTCCTTTAGGGAAGGAAACTGCCATCCTTACCTGGTCTGGCCTACATGTGACTTCAGACCCACAGCAATGTGGTTGATTCTGAACTGCCCTCTGGGCAATTATGGATGGACAATAAATGCTGCCTGGTCAGCAACACCCTCATCCCGTGAATGAATAAAAAGAAAATCAGCCCCTCGAGTCTGTTACACAGGAACAGGAGGAGGCCATTCAGCTCTTGCCATGATGTGAGTTCTCTGTGTGTCTCTTCTCTCCAGGTTTCCACTTAAATAACCAGCTGACCCAGATCATCGTGGCTCGATATTCCGACATGGATACCCTCACCCTCGACTTCGACAACTTTGTTTCTTGTCTCGTTCGTCTTGAGGCCGTCTTCAGTAAGTGTCACTGTCAGTTGGGAGGGTCCTCCTCCATCCCCACTCCACCGCTCCCCCCCCAAAAAAAAAACACAGCTGCTGGGATGGGGGCAACGTTTGGGGGGGGGGGGGGGCGGGGTTGGTAGGGTCAGGGGTCAAGCTGACTCTCATTCATTCTCCTCCTTTTTCAGAAATGTTTAACACTCTGCCCAAGGATGGAAATGGCCTTATCCAGCTGGGAATGCTGCAGGTACGAGGGCCAAACGGGAGGTGGGGGGGGGGGGGGGGGGCAGTCTAACTGCTGTCTGTCCTATGATGAGCCCACACTAACTGCTCTCTCTCTCTGTCACACACAGTGGCTAACCTTGGTCCTGGGCTGACGCTGCTGGACCGGTCATGGATGGTGGAGACCAGCAGTGGATCTGGATGAGCTGTTCCCATTGGGAGAGTGATCCGTTGAGTCTCCATTCTGTCTGAGACATACACCCTGATGTCTCTGGGTGGTTGTGTTTGGGATCTTGTTTTTCTGCCCTGCCTCAGGGTTGCTTGCTTGTCTATCGGTGGGCCCCATAGCCACTGCCCTGTGCTCTGATCACGGTGGGTGGATTTACTCTCTTTCTGCTGCCTAATCCTCAGTATGGCTTTTGGGAGGGGGTGGGTGGGACGTCCATGCTCTGTCACTTTGCAAAGATCTTGTTGTATTTCTGACTGAATAAAAATGGGTTGTAAAATCTGAGAGCGCTCTGAGTGGTGTCTGAGCTATTCTGTGATTGACTGATGGGATTTACAAATGCTCCTGTTCCCTCTGCTTGTGCATCGTGATTGATGCACAGTTTTCAGAAACCAGTAGTTCGTTGCCCCCTTAAGAAGGTGGGGGGGAGCTGCCTTCTTGACCCGCTGCAGTCCTCCTGCTGTGGGTTGACCCACAATGCCCTTAGGGAGGGAATTCCAGGATTTAGACCCAGCGACACTGAAGGAACGGTGATATATTGCCAAGTCAGGATGGTGAATGGCTTGGAGAGGAATTTGCAGGGGGTGGTGTTCCCATGTATCTGCTGTACTTGTCCTTCTAGATGGAAGGTGCTGTCTGAAGATCTTTGGTGAGTTTCTGCAGTGCATCTTGATTATTATGCCACTAAATGTCAAGGGGCGGTGGTTAGATTGTCTCTTATTGGTGATGGTCATAGCCTGGCATTTGTGTGGAGCGAATGTCACTTGCCACTTGTCAGCCCAAACTGTCCAGATCTTGTTGCATGTGAACATGGACTGCTTCAGTATCTGAGGAGTCAAGAATGGTGCTGAACATTGTTTAATCATCGGTGAACATCCCCAATTCTGACCTTATGACGGAGGGAAGATCATTGATGAAGCAGCCGAAGATGGTTGGGCCCAGGACACTACCCTGAGGAACTCCTGCAGAGATGTCCTGGAGCTGGGATGATTGACCACCAACAACCACAACCATCTTCCTATGGGTCAGGTATGACTCCAACCACCGCAGCATTTGCCCCTGATACCCATTGATTCCAGTTTTGCTCAGGTTCCTTGATGCCACACTCGGTTGAATGCAGCCTTGATATCAAGGGCTGTCACTCTCACCTCACCTCTGGAATTCAGCTCTTTTGTCCATGTTTGAACCAAGGCTGTAATGAGGTCAGGAGCTGAGTGGCCCTGGTGGAACCCAAACTGGGCGTCACTGAGCAGGTTATTGCTGAGCAGGTGCTGCTTGATAGCGCTGTTAGTGACACCTTCCATCACTTTACTGATGATCGACAGTAGACTGATGGGGCAGTAATTGAGACAACAAGGTGCAGGGCTGGATGAACACAGCAGGCCAAGCAGCATCATAGGAGCAGAAAGGCTGACGTTTCGGGCCTAGGCAGTAATTAGTCGGGTTGGATTTGTCCTGCTTTTTGTGTACAGGACATACTTGGGCAATTTTCCACATTGTCGGGTAGAAGCCAGTGTTGTAACTGGACTGGAACAGCTTGGGGGTGGGGTGGGGAATGGAGGTGGAGGGGAACGTGTTGGGACAGATGGGTGGAGAGGGAGGAAAGAAGTGGCAGGGAGATGGGGAGTGGGGTAGAGATAGAACTGGAGGTGAAGTGAGTGGGATTGGGGTGGAGGAACAGATACGATAGCAATGTTTCAGAGACCTTTAGACAGATGCATGAACAGGCAAAGAAGAGGGATATGAGCCATTTGGAGGCAGATAGGATTAGATGAGAATAGCATCATGGTCAGCACAGACATGGTGTACCAGTCTATATTCTATCAGACAGAGGGGAGAGAGGAAGTGCTGAGAGTGGGTGTGTGAAGCAGATGAATCACAGGCATTGTACAAAACCCAGCATTTATTGACCAGAGAACAGAGAGAATGCCAGTGTCACCATCTGGAACCCGAGATAAGGACACAGCAGTTCTTCAAATAAACAACCATCCATACTCCCATCTCCAAAACACCTTCCTCTCCCACTCAGCAGAAAATCAAACAGAACCATAACCACATTCACCTGGGAACCATGCCCCTACTGGATCCCAGTTCACTGCCCCTTCCCCATTCCCAGTGAACCTCAGCTCACACCCTCATCTCCACCAGATCCCAGTTGATCCCTGTGATCCAGTATCCCAGCAGCATGTCAGATGATGTAATAACTGGGTTCATCCTCAGTGTCACCAATGTCACTGTGTTCCTCCCGTTCGGAACTGTCCAATGTACTGACGGATTGGGTTGAAGTCAGATCATCACAACTGCTGCTTTCACTGTCGGTCACACTGACAGGTTTCACCTTCAATGCTGAGGCAACAATGAGAAATAGACAACACAGTGTTGTGGTATCAGTATACTGATCAGAAACATTAACACTGTTCCTCTCTACAGATGCTGCCTGACCTGACAGGACACTGGTACAGTTTTAAACAAGTACTTCACATCTGTCTTTACTCGACAGGAGGAGGAAGGGGAACGTAGGCACAGAACTGGAGAAGGGGGACAGAGGATCCTGAGCAGTTTGACAGTGGGAGTAAGGAGGTATTGGAGCTTTTTGCAGGTTTAAAACTGGGCAAATCCCCAGGACCGGATCAGCCCAGTGGTATTATCGCTAGACACTTAATCCAGAGACCTAGATAACGTTCTGGGGACCTGGGTTCGAATCCCACCATGGCAGATAGTGGAATTTGAATTCAATAAAGATCTGAAATTAAGAATCTAATGATGACCATGAATCCATTGTCGATTGTCGGGGAAAAACCCATCTGGTTCACTAATGCCCTTTAGGGAAGGAAACTGCCATCCTTACCTGGTCTGGCCTACATGTGACTCCCGACCCATAGCAATGTGGCTGACTCTTAACTGCCTTCTGGGCAATTAGGGATGGGCAATAAATGCTGCCTTGTCAATGACACGCTCATCCCGTGAATGAATTTAAAAAAAAAAAAATTGTGTCTCGGGTGAGAGAGAAATTCACAAGGGCCCTGATCCAAATGTTTAATTCCTCCCTGGCCACAGGGGACTGGAACACAGCTAATGTGGTTCCACATTACAAGGTGAGCGGTAGTGAGAAACCAGGGAATTACAGACCAGTGAGGCTCACATCAGTGGGAGGGAAACGACTGGAGAGAATTCTGAAGGAGAGAATTAACCTGCACTTGGAGAGGCAAGGTGTGATCAGGGATAGTCAGCACGGCTTTGTTAGAGGGAGGTCATGCCTAACGAATCTGGTGGAATTTTGAAAGGAGGTGACCCAGGTGTGTAGATGAGGGTAGTTGGTGCAGTTTATATGGATTTCAGCAAGGCCTTTAACAAGGTCCCAAAGGGGAAAAAGGAAGGTAAAAGCTCATGGGATCCAGGGTAACTTGGAAAGTTGGATCCAGAATTGTCTCAGTGAGACAGAGGGTGGTGGTAGCAGGCTGTGTGTGTGACTGGGGCCCAGTGTGCAGTTATGTACCTCAGGGATCAGTGCTGGGTCCCTTATTGTTTGTGATATTCGTCAATGATTTGGATGAGAATGTGGGGGAGATGATGATTAAGTTTGTGGTTGACATGCAGATTGGCCGGGTCGTTGACAATGAGGAAGAGGGTCATAGGTTGCAGGAGGATATACACGGATTGGTCAGGTGGGCAGATCAGTGGCAGATAGAATTTAATCTGGATCACTGAGGCCATGCACTTTGAAAGAAGGAGCAAGAAAAGGGAGTATTCAGTGAATGGCAGGACACGAGGAAACTCAGGAACAGAGGGATCTTG